GGGGCGTCGATACCGACTGTATGTTTCTACGTGCCTGCTGAGCTTGGCTGCCACCTCTGGGTGCTTCTGCAGCCCAAATAAACAACAAATTAGGAGCTGCCACTGAGACCTCTTGTGGTCAATAATTTGCTCAACTGACCTAGGTCTGTTGGGGGACCAAGAATGGGCATCATCTCCATGCCATCTAAACCCACTTGTGGTACTGTCAGGAGCACGATTCCCCACTAGGACTCATCAGCCAGGTTACTTCATGAACTTGCAGTTGCTGTCACCAGATCCCATGGCTGCGGTGTCTCCCTGCCCTCTGTGTAGTAACTCTTCTCCCCCCAGGGCTGATGAAGGAACAAACATAGAACAACATGTTTTAATCACTGGGCTCTGGGGTACCACTGTACCCCTACATTTTGGGTGATGGTAATAAACAGGAATGCTAAAAGCAACAAGGAAAGGGGAGGAAAAAAATTATAATCTCCTTAAAGTGTCCTCCATGCCCTCTCTCACCCTGCTGCTTTTCTGATAAGGCTAAAGCAATTCAGCACTGGAAAAGGGAAAGGGGCTTTGCCATCACTTGGCAAGGAGAATGTGGGGGAGGGATGTATGTCTGCATGTATCTCCTGATAATTTATTGCTGGCATCTGTGCAGCCTCTGTCACCCACCCTTTTGTAATATAGGTCACCCACATGCCCTGCCAGTGCTCGTAAGCCAGGCTGTTAACGGAGTCTGATCCCTCAGCCATGATCCAAGGGTTATTGCAAAGGACTAGGAGAGATAATCAGAGACAGAGGTTGCTGGGCTCTGTTTCTGGCTGCGACTTATCCTAGTGACACAGTCACCTGTCTTTCTAGCCTCAGTGTCCCTGTCTGGAAAATGGGATTTTATCCACCTGCCTAGAGCAGCGGCACTACTGGCTACAACCTCAGCCTTACTTCTGGGGCTCATTAAATACAAAATAACACCACCACCTACAACCATGGTCAGAGCCATCGGTAAAGCAGATGGAAAGCTTTGGATAGAAGGTGCCACAGAATTTGGAAGTGTTACTAAAACAGTATGTGGATGCAGTAAACTGAAACCCTTCCCACCCTCACAGTGTGTTCCTTAGGACCTGACTTATGGAAGCTAAGGCTTTACAGTGATACTGCAAACCTTACTGGTGTCTGGGCAGGGAGAAGGGAAGCACAAGACAGTGATAGTGCCTGCTGTAGCTTTTATGCCCTGGCAAGTGCTGCAGAGTCATTACAATCTCCTCAGAACACCCCTCGCCCCCAGCAGTAAAGTTCCCTGTTCAAGCTAATTAGGGGAATCCTCATTAGAGAGTCCTCTAGAGTCTGACAGCAGGCCAAATGTCCAAGTGGCACTTCAGCTTAGTGTATTTTTGGCCACTGGAGCCCATGGGCCAGAAATTAATGATTTCATTCTGTTGCTTTGAGCTGAAACTGGAAAAGTTGCCTTTTACTGTCCTATATCAAACGGCAAGAAGAAAAGGCCACCATCACCCCCACAGGCTACTCTCTTAATTTCTCCAGAATCTGGAAAAGAGATTCAACTCGAAGCATGTGGAAGAAAGCTCTGGACACCGTGTCCCATGGATCACAGGGCATTCAGATGACATGTTGCTCCAGGGAGAAGGAACCATCCAGTAAGCCTGGAAGAAAGACTAATGCCTGGTTTGTGGGGCCCTTGGGTGACTTCAGAGCATTCCGAGCTCCAGCAATGCAGATCACCCTGGAGCGCCCAAACCCAGTTCTGAACGCATGGCACGGTGCCTCTCCTCTTGGGCTGGGGGTGTATGGGGATACTCCTAGGTCTGGCAGAGTCCTTGCTGCTGGAAAAGTCCCTGGCTGTCAGGCTGAAAGCAGACAGACAGATTTGTGGTGCTCTGGAGAGCCTTGAGGTGTGGGCAGGTGCTAGCTGCCCCAGGACTAAAGGGTTCCCAGTGCTGCACTGGCAGTGAGCGCAGCTGGCCTGGTGCTCTGCAGAACAGAAGGCATCTCTTGGGCCACAGCAAAACAGCTAATTACGTCAGAATTCAAGACAAGTCAGAGAAAACCTTTAACAAAGAAACTCTCAAAAATCCTCTCTGCCTCCTTGCTCTCTCCTGGCCGCAGAATATTAATCACTAAGGGTCTAACGTGCTTATGGGCAATAGATGTGTGGGACAAACTGGGTTTCTCTGGATCCTTGGAATCAAAATTTCTCCATAAACATACTACTTCAAGGTATAAATGCAGAAGCTCATTGCCCCTTGCACTTCAGCAGTCAGGAACCTCTACCTATTCCAAATTTACTGCTCTGCCACTTGAGCATATGTTATGCTTGGAGAAGCAGGCAGTTTTGTGCAAGACATGGATGTCGATAAATATGGGTCACGGAAGAGTTCCGGGTACATGTGCGAGCCCAACTCTGTGCACACACTTGTACATGTAAGCTAGATTGGCGACTGTATCTGCATACATACATGAAGATAGCTGCTTTTAAGTCTTAGAAACATGTGTACGAGTGCACAAAGGGTGGCTGCTATCTGTGGGGCTGGGAGTGTTGTGTTTATGTGACATGCTTTTAAAATAATCTTGGGTTTATCAAGGCGCCTCCATCTTTGTGCGTGTTGCAGCGCAGGAGACAGCATTAAAGCCTGAACAGGTGTTAATCGCTATGCACTGTAATAAATTCTAAACATAGGGAAAGGGCTTATTTATACACGGCTGCTCCTCCCACCCTGTGCTCTGTGCTTGAGCCTTGGCGCTGCCTGAGAGGAAGAGGCGCCCGTGAGGTACCAGAAACCAGTGCATGAGCTGGACTTTCCCTGCCAGAGCAGAAGGAGCTACGGGTAGAAACCCCGACCCCATCACCGTCCTCGCGCCCCGGTATGCTGGTCCTGCTCCAGCCCCCCAGTTGCCTGGAGATGGTGTGGCTGAATTGCACAGCGCAGCAAGAAGGATGGGGGGGACACCAGCCCATGGCCTGAATGGGGGCCTGGGCTGAGGGGCGACCGCAGAGGGAAGCTGTGTCATGAAGCACCCAAGGAAGCTGGTTGGTTTTTGCGGGGTTTTTTTTTTTGTTTTTTTGTTTTTTGTTTTTTTTTTTTAAAAAAAGCTTAGCCCCCCTGCTTGGAGCCAAGCCAGCTGATACAGATGGGGTGTTACAAAACAGAGCCAAAAGGCAAGAGCGCAAGGAACAGAGCTATCTATAACCCTGACAAAGTTAGATGGAGTGAAGGTGGGGAAGAGGGAAAGACAGAGCGTGGCAGGCAGCCCCTGATGCTGAGAGCGAGGACGCGATCGTTCGGCAAAGGGATTTGGAGCTGATCGACTCCTGCTATCCAGCAAGCAGATAAGGCTCTGTGTCTGTCAGCTTAACTCTGCCATTCATTCCTGTGCTGTAGGGAGTTAAATAGAGCACACGGAAAGCCTGCTGCTGGGGAGTGAAAGTCAAGGAGGGAGAGGGAAGGAAGAGGCTGTAATTGGGCAGTGCCTGGGGAGTCAGGTGGAAGTGGCTGCGGGCAGAGCCCCTCCAGGTAAGTGCTTGCGGCTTTTCATCCTCCTTGTTGATACCGACAGGCGGGGACAGGAGCTTCAGGGGGTGGCATTTAGGACGGAGACATTGATATGGGGGAGGCTGAAAGTCTCCTCCTCAGCCAGGGCAAGTGCAAGCACCGAATGGGGACAGCTATTTGTTGTGGCTTCTCCTTCAGCAGGGACTGCAGGGAAAGGGCTCCAGCTCGGTTTGGGGACGGGGGGGCTGCAGCGGGTGAAGGTTGGATTGGTTTCAGTGCCCTGAAGGGTATTCATCTATTTGGTGCATTGGCATTTGGGTAAATGATCTAAATAGCCTTGCAAAATGTACTAGTCCAGGCACTGAACCTGCTCATCTTTCTCATTGAGTTGCTAATTTAAATATTTCCTGGTGGTTTACATTCCCATATAAAATAAATCAGTCATGGGAGCCTGGGGGAGGGGAAGCTGCTGGCACGTGTGTGGGGAGAGTGTCCCGGTGGGAGCGCAGCGCCCAGCTAAAATAACAGCTGTAGATATTGTCAGAGCCCCTCAGAGGGGATGGAGGATGGTTTATTTCTGTACGCTGGTTGAAATGTGTCCATCTAACTGCTGCTGCAACTGTGGGTGGCACATCAGAGAGGAAGCAGGGGGACAGGAGGGTCCCTGGTGTTTCCCCTTCTCCTGCTTGCCTGTATCCAAAAGGTAAGCGGGAGGGAAGTTGGAACCTGTTGTCAGTCACTTATCGTCAGGGGAGAGTTTATGGTCTTTGGGTTTCTAATTAGACTGAGCATTTTTCCTTCTTCTAATTAAGATGTAATTCCTCTCTTTTCAACACTCCCACTCAGTCTCCCCCGCCCCAGGTCCTCCCTTCTCCTCCGAGGCTCGCTCGCTCTTCAGCCCCTGCAGTTGCTGCAGTGTGAAATCCCCAAGCTGAAGCTGTGCTCGGCTCAGCCCCGCTCTAGCCACCACATCCATTTTACCTTGAAACAGAAGGGAAGCGCTGGTAGGGAACACAGGGCGGGGAGAAGCAGCTTGGCAGCCGCTGGTGCCCAGACCTCAGTGAGCCCGAGCCGTGCGTCAGGGAGAGGGTGCACAGGTGGTACCAGCCTGCGTGGAGGCGAGGGGGAATGAGCTGGAGCCTGCTGCTCTGGCAGGGCCACCTCAGCAATTCATCGGGTTAACCTTGGCCGTGAGGCTAATGTAGCTACCATAGCAGGCTACTCGAGCACAGGCTCATCTCTGCGGCACTTAGGTGAGAGGTTCAAAGTGAATTAACGATGTGCCTTTGTCATGCTGCGCCTCCCGAAACATCCTCCACCCCTCACTCCAAAACGGAGCTGACGTCTCGAAGGCAAAACTCTAGTTGGGGAGGGGAAAAGGACAACACTGAGCCCAGCTCTGCGTCCTGCTAACCCAGGGAGCTGAATCTCACCCGCTCTGCTTCGCTCTTCCCCCTCCAGGACCCGGCAGGCAGACTACAAGGTCATTCCTCTTCCCTTTGGGGCTGTGTGCCAGGCTGGCTGGTGGATGTGAAGACACGCTGGAGAAGACAATAATGCTGCCTACAACTGCTGGCCACCGGTGGAGGAGCAGGTTCCTCATGAGGTGGCAAGAGGCTTGTCGTAAGTAATGCCTACTCAGGTACTAAGTACGATAATCCTGTTTGTCAAGGGAGTGGAAAGAAAATAGGTCGCATCAGGGTTAAGAATAGGGGAGAGGGACAGCTAAGAATGGAGATGTTTGAACTAATTCCTGATTCCTTTAGAGGCCAGGCTAGCTGGGAGGGAGAATGAGACTCTAAAGCTGAAGATGGGCTTAAAGTGGGACAGCCAGTGTGATTGCTTCCGAATTCCAGTGGGCCTGGCAGGTGACAAACAGCGAGACAGATACCACCGCACAAAGATCCACCCTGAACATTTCTCAGATCGGCATCCTGTAAGCTGCAGACTCCTCTCTATGGTTGGGGTTTATACATAGGTTGCTGAGAAAGGCTCCCAGCTCTTCACAGCAGAAGTCCTGACAGATTTCAGAAGGGAATGCAAGATGTGAATGCAGAATTCTCCTACTGGGCACTGCCACATGTAGTGACAATCAAGGAGTAAATAAAGAAGATCTCTTGTAAAGTTAATTGTTAAAAGTTCAGCCTGTGCGTCTTCCCAGTGGACCGAGGCATCTGCTGCTGTATCCCTGAGTGCAGAGTAGAGATTGCCGGGGCAATGTGGGGCTTCAGGGAATGTACCTGCACTTCAGAGAAGCATCTGGGGACCACAGCAGAGGAAAGGGAGCACTTGGAGAGTGTCCATCACTACTGCATGCCCAGGCACCGAGCAGGTCTGTGGTTTCCCTTGTTCCTGCCCCCCGATCAAATTTGGGGCTGCCACTGTAAGGAGCTGGGGGAATTATTTCCTTCTCCAGAAAACAGGCATCTTTGTAATCCACTCTCACAGACTAGACTGCTGTATAAATTATTTATAATGAATGCTACTGAGTCTTGACTTAATCTGATATACCTGGATCAGCTTTCTGCCACCTACTAGAGTCACCAAACACCCCTCAAAGTAACTTCATCTTCCCCTAACACAAAAACAGATACTATTCATCCTTCTGTAGGGCTGGAAGACAGCTTCAAGGTCTGCCTATTGCTTTCCCTGCCTCTCTTCCCTGTAGAGCTACATCCTAACCTGTGCAATGAATTCCTTGGTCTCAGCTCACATCCTAATGAATGCACCTCTTACGGGGACTGAAAATAAAATCAGACCTTCTCCTCTCTATGATTTTTAGTAAAATATTTCCAAGAGCACAAAGCAATATATGGGTAACAACAAGACGTTTTTTGGCAGATCTTACATGGCTGCAGAAACTTGGCATAAATCCAGCTCCTGAACATAACCACAGCCAGCTGCCTGAGACTTCGTTCCTACCAGTCACTGCCAGCATACATACTGGTGGAACCCCACAGCCACCCAGTTGGAGCCAGTGGTGGGTAGGCATTTTGAGAGATAAGCCCTGAACAGAATGCCACCTGTATAGCATTACACACGGTCTGCTCTTGCCTTTCGCGGTGTACAAAGCAGCTAAGTGTTATCTCATCATCACAGCTGTCAATCTGTTATTAATACTGTACCTTTGTTAAGCATCCAGGAAAAGATGGGGTTACTTGAGTGACTCATGGCTCTCTCCCTTCCCCACTCTAGCTCCCATTCTTTTAATTCTCTCCCTACAACAAGAGCGCAATGTATTCTGAATGGAATTAAATATCAGACAGACAGACAGTAGCTGCACTGCGCTAGTCCACAAGCTATGATCTCTTTTCAAGGCAATCTCCACTGTGGATCCCGACCTTTGAATGACAAGAAAGCACAGAGGTGCTCAGAGTGAATCTCTCTCTTGTATTTCACTGTAAGGATCCACGATTATCATTAAAAGCGCACACAGATTAGCACAGCCTGGACTGATGTACACCTGAGATTTTAACTGTAGGACAAAAACAAAAATTGTGAAGGAACTGTGAAAGATTGATGAAATAAAAAAGAGCTGAGACGTTCTCTCTGAACACTTATCCCTTGGTCCTTAATAAAGTTATATAGCTTAGGATCCAAACTGTGTAGTTCTCCTTAGGCTACCAGTCCACAAATTTGCCAATTCTCACAAGGATCACTGGGAACACCAGACAGGCCTATGCAGGATGACAGGTTTCGAGTATGAAGGCAGCATCGCTGACAGAAGCCAAATTGATATAAAAAAATGGGCTATGGGTCAGACTAAACTCTGGAGAGAGTGGTGCGAGGGAAGAGAGGAAGAGCATGGCTGACTGCAGAGCTGTTCCAGGCAGAGCATCTCCAGAGCCTGGGTCTCCACCAGCTCCCTCTTCTACGGCAATTTCACAATTCCTTTGGGGCTAAGAAACAAACCACCTGCTTGTTGGTTCTTTGGAAAAAAGCAGGACAGAAGAATCTGTTTTCCAGTCCAGAAGAGAATGGCGAGACAATAAATGTATCCACTTTAGCTACCATTCACCCCTAAAAAGACTTTACCAACCCCAAGTGACTGCCTTCTCTGAAGAAAAGTGAGAAAGGGAGAGCACAGGCCATGATGCACAGACAAACCTGCTTCAGTTTTAGTCAAATGCTCAAACTTGTCACCTTAAAAAACAGCGAGGGAGCTGAATTTGCTTCCCACATTGAAGAAACTAATCTCAATTCCACAAAAGGAATTAGGATGAAGGATGCAAATGTTTTACATTGTCTGCTTAAACATAACTCCCACTCCTCTAATGACAGGCAGCACAAAGCTTGCTTTGCTGTTGCTGATGCTTCTTTGTCACAGAAATGAGAGTTTTAAAAGCCACTGGCTCCCAGGGAGGGTTGGTAACTAGTGCCCTGACGCCACTTACAGGATGTGGAGCCATGTCTTCAATGGTGATCCACAACAGTGCTCTAAAAAATGCTGGTTTGTGGATTGCCTGACTTTACCTTTGAGACACTGCAGGAGAAAGGGGATGTGTGCTAACCCTTTTCCTAACACCCCTTTCTTCAACTACCAACCTGCAATTTTTTTCCTGGTCTCCATTGCTACGGGCAATTTTGGTCAGAGGAGATACTTGTGGGTCTATTGCTGTGGGATGCAGAAACTATTTTGAGAGCAATGACAAGTACTAGATGTCCAGTGGCTTAGGGGCTCTTTGTTACTTTTTAACAGCTTTCTTGTTCATCCCTTTGTAATGGTACCTACTTAATAGAAAAGTCTCCTGCCACAAGGCCCATGCAACACACTGTGGATATGGAAAGCAAACGATACCCTGATTTAGAGGCTAACTTAGACCTGAGTCTGATCCATCACAAAGACTAGGAGCACAAATGAGATGTAGGTTGTTTTGGTTTCATTTTTCTTAAAAGCTTTCCACTAACATGTCTATTTCTGAAAAAATAGAGCTTCTTAAATATATACCAGTCCTTTCTCTTTCAACCCTGACTGTTTAGAAATAGCTGTCCTTTATCAGAGGTGACACCTCCCACCACGTTCTGCTCCATTCTCCTCTGACAGGTTCCAGTGCTCTAGTATCTGGCAGCAAAGTCCTCTGGGATGCACTGTTTTAACTTCCTTGTGAAACTGGAAGACTATTTACTTGCTTGCTCATGAAAAAAAAGGCTAAGAGGAAAGTCATGCTGGCAGGGTGCAGGCCAGCAGCAAAGAGATGTAGCTGTGAGGAAGCTCATGGCACTGCAGGGCATTGCGGCGAAGAGTCCCGCTGTGAGGATCCCATTGTAGCCATCGCTGTGCTCAAGGTGGTGACGGGTGAGGATGGGACAGCACTGCTCTAACACATGCACTCTCTCTCCCCTGCTTTTCACCTACCAGTGCTTGGCTGTTGGCTGTCGCTGTGTGCTGCCGAGTCCTTCTTTGCTTGTCCTTCCTCCTGCAAGTGTAACAGTGGCAACCTGGAAGTGGACTGTAGTGGCCTGGGCCTCTCTTCCATCCCCTCAGACATCCCCACAAACACCAGGACCTTCCTCTTCCTCAACAACAAACTCAGCACCCTGCCAGGAGCAGTGTTTTCCAACCTGTCTGCCCTACAGAGGCTGGATCTATCGAACAACTTCTTGGACCAGCTCCCTCAGAACATCTTCAGTGATCTGGGGAACCTCACGGAGCTCCAGCTGAGGAACAACAGCATCAGGGCCTTGGACAAGGACCTGCTACAACACACAGCCCTGCTGCGCCAGCTGGATCTCTCCATCAACGGCCTGGCCCAGATACCCTCGGGCATCTTTGACGACCTGCCTGCTCTCCGCTCCCTCTCTCTCAGGTCCAATCGCCTGCAGAGCCTGGACAGGGTGACCTTCGAACCGCTAACCAGCCTGCAGCACCTCCAAGTTGGGGATAACCCCTGGGAATGCGACTGCAACCTCCGAGACTTCAAGCACTGGATGGAGTGGTTCTCCTACAGAGGTAGGTGCTCGCGCAGCGGGAGCCAAGTGCAGAAGTGCTGGTCTTCCATGGAAAGGCAGACAGAGGCAGGCGGGGAAGAAACACGAGCAGATACATCTGGCAGGTCAGGCTGACCTGGATGCCAGATCTTAGTCAAGGAGCATGAGGACCGTGCTGCAATGCTAAGAAACAGTTTAGTGCCACCACACCTTCATAGAGGAACACTGCCAGGCTGAGGAGTCCTCTGCAGCCCCAGAACTCCTATTTCCTTGTTTTGTTTCTAATCTAAAAGATTACTTTTTTTTCTTGGGAGAGGAAAGAACATCAAAATTTTTAGGATTATGAGTTCCCCTTACCCTTTCTGCCTAAGGAGAAGAAATGCTTTTCACGCTTGAAAATAACCGTCCCGTTCTCTTTCTTAAGACAGGAGAACTAAAAGCCAGATTTGGCTGTAAAGCACCAGGTTTGCTTTCAACAAAAGAACCATAGGAAACTGTGCCACTTAGGAAAATACTGCAATTAATATTGGCAAACACAAACTAAAGCTCAAATTAACAAGCCAGGCCCCAAGTCAGACTGGCTCTAAACTTGTAATTTCAAACCAAGCAGTTTTTGACAAGTTTCTATTTCCAGTTTTTCCTTGAAATACAGAAGGCTGGAAAGGTATGTATCACTTAGTAGGAACGCCGATGGGATGACACGTTTTCAGGAGCTGCAACTCAAAGAAAGATGGCACATTTTACAGGAATGATGATTGAAGGCTTGACCTTCTGTCACTGGAGCCAATGAGTAGGAAAGGATCTCAAATCATGCGGATAGCAACAGTCAGCTGTCACATCCCTGCTGATCACAGCCATGCTGCAAAGAGATTATCTACGCCTATGGCTACACTGCAGTCTGAAATATGCATTTGTGTGAGCAGAATCAAACAAGCATACGAGTGCCACTTTCGTCTTGGTGGGTTTTTTTCCGGTTTGTTTTCTTTCTTGACTCCCATATAACAGAGTCGATGGAAAGCACACGGCATGAATCTTGCTTTTTTTCCCCTTCCAAAGAAATTGCCCAAACTCGCTCAAGCATTTGTTTCAACATCTGTCACTATTTTCACAGAGGGGAGATGAATTAGTTGTTAGAAGATAAGGACTGTGTGTTGTTATTTTGAGAAGATAGATACAGCCTGGTCCCATCTTTTTGCTTTAACTTCTCCTTTTCTAAAATGGTTCTATTGACACTTACATAACTCACTAAACAGTATGAGGCTGACTTAATAGATGGTTTCAGAGGGCTTTCATGTCTTGGCCTAAAAGATGTCTATGCAAATATCACGCACCATGAGCTCTACTGTCAAATCCAACCTAGGCAGAAGCATACCAGCCAGCTGCCATGGTTGAAGCTGTTCCAGCTATGGAGGGCTAAGGCATGCAACATGTCTCCAAGTTAGGCAAAACAATCATTTTAAAGGATACCACGTGTGCCCCTCCTGCCTTGTGCATGGAAGCGCAGCCGTTACTCCCTCCCTCCACCTTTGACAAGCACTGAGGAGCTGGCAGGCTCTCTTGAATACTCTCCTCCTCAGCAATGCATTCACACATGAGGGATTGGATTTTATGGCCCCACTGCTATAATAAAGCAGTTCCCCACTTGATAATCCTAATGCTGCTATGCCTGACTTCTGTAGGGCAAATACTTAGCAGAGGTGAATGGAGTCGTAGGAACTTACCCCAGCTGAGGATCTAGCTCTGCTGTCACTGTATCAGGATGAAGCTGTGGTTCACTCCTGTTATCTTTATTGGGACAGGTGGGAAAATTGACCAGCTGGCATGTACCCTGCCCAAGGAGCTGAAAGGGAAGGATATGCGAATGGTGCCCATGGAGATGTTTAACTACTGCTCCCAGCTGGACGATGAGAACAGCTCTACCGTGCTGGACAATACTGGCCCACCCTGCACTAAAGGAAGCCCAGCTCCTTCCAAATCTAAATCGGGCCCAGAAACAGAAGTGGAGCCCAGTGTGGGATGCCCTCAGAAACAGCGATATAGGCCTGTGAGCGTGCGCCGGGCTATTGGCACTGTGATCATTGCAGGGGTGGTTTGCGGCATTGTTTGCATCATGATGGTGGTGGCAGCTGCTTATGGTTGCATCTATGCCTCCCTTATGGCCAAGTACCACCGGGAGCTGAAGAAGAGGCAGCCACTCATGGGTGACACAGAAGGTGAACATGAAGAGCAAAAACAAATCTCTTCTGTTGCATGAAACTCTTCTAGGAAGGAAGGGACAGCAATGAACAAAGGTACCTGAGAGCAGTCAAGGATGGGGTCTTCCCAAAATACATCTTCCCAGACAGACAGACTGTGCTATTGCTCCACTCGCCCAAGTAGTGCAACATGCTTCTGGGGGGTCAGGGCACCTGGCTCAATTTCTGTTCCTCTGCCCCAGGCCCATTTTGTGCCCTTTCATCCTTGGGCCCTCCCAGACAAATAAAGTAGAGTCAGACCTCGAGTGTTTGCTGTGCCTCATGCCCTTGCACAGAGCTTCCTCACATGCCTGCTGTGGAGGCAGCTGGCACCTTCTGGGAACCTGTGTCATCCTTTCAGCTTTGGTTCTGAGTTGTCCTGTATCCTGTCAAGAGCTCTCTGCAAACAGAGAGCAGCTCTGTGAAAGCTTATGTGAGGAGCAGGACACCATAAATGTCCATGCCTCGCTGTTAGGGTCACTACTGTTGTGTGACAGTAAGTTGCTGCCCACCCTACAAGTCAGTGCTGCTGAGAGCACATCAGAAAGGAGGGAAGGTCCCTAGGGGATGACAACAGTCAGGGGGAGATTTCTCTTCTCACTTTCAGAGGTGGAAAGATACCTGTATCACTCTAACATGCTGCCAGGGAGCAGAGTGTCCCTCTTTTTGCTCCTGGCCGAGTCCAAATCTGCAAGCTTTCACTCACACATGTCATCTGCTATAGGTGCACAGATAGAGAGCTGTCCTCCTGTACACCCTCTCCTGACTCACTCTGATCCCAACACACACACGCAGTCAGCCCCAGCTCCAGACACCCAGGCATCCCACCTGCGCATGCAGAGCCACACGTGCCCATGCTGACCTGCCCTCTGCGTGCAGCCCTGAATACATTCAGCCACTTTACCTTGCTCTCATCATAACAGTGCATAGCACCTTCTGCTTCAGACAAAATACATGCACCCTGCCACCGAGGAGCTAACAAAAACCTCACAGCCATAGCACAGAGCCAGTGGAAATGGGCTGGAGAGGACAGAGGGAGGCAAAGTTATGAAGGTCACAGCATGAGTCTGTGGAAATAAGTACACAGCATGAAAAAAATAAGGTGCATTCTTGTTATCTATTTTATGTTTTCTGTGATAAATGGAGAGGGTAAGGATATGAAGCCGCCATTTGGAAACGCTTGATTGGCAGAGCAGAAGTGGGTCATCAAGAAACACTAGAGGAGGAGGTAGCTTACCAGCATCGGTAGCATAAGCCATGCTGAGGAGTAGTGTGAGCCTAGGTGAAGGTGGTGGGAGAAGATGACACACAGCCCAAGAGCTGGCATGGCTGGCAGAGGGGCAAGCACGGTGTATGGAGTAGGGTTATACAGCTGGGGCGACTGAAGAGAAGGGGCACAGTTCTGGAGGGTCTTGAGCTGAAGGCTGAAACCTGGACCACAGCATGGCACAGGTGGGAGAGCCCAGGAAGGGTCCAGCACGGTAGGCAGCACAGCCCGCATACGTTCCCCTCACCACCATCCAATCCACGGCTGCACGTGAGTGTGCCCATACCCCCAACTGCCCACACTGCCACTGTCACGTGGGGTGACTTCCCCCAACCAGATTTTAAATCTGTGCAGTGCCTCCTATTAGTCTTAGCTCTTTCTGACCTAATAGGAGTAAAAAAAAAAAAAAAGTGCGAGGGGAAACAAAATGAAAGGAACTCGACATAAGGACTCGTTTTGTATCACTGGAAGTGGGATAAAATGCTGTCTCCAGGGGAGAGCACACATTGCCATGGTAACCTGCTCTAACCCGCCACAGCGGGTATTCCTGGGCGAGGAAGATGACACCGGAGGTCGTGCATCCGCAGTGCCTGTCGATGGTGCGATCCCTGCCATCAGGAAACAAGCTGGCAGCCAGCCCAGCTTTGAGGGTGTTTCGCTAGCAACCTGTGTCCAGAGCCCAGCACGCGCCGCAGGTGGACCCTGCGAGGGCATGTCACCTCTTCCCCCTGCTCCAGCCGGATCCCGATGCCTTTGGACATCTCACAGCCCTCCTGCCCACTGCTGCTGGATCCCTGTGGAAGCGATGTACGCTGGCTCCTCAGCCCTTCCTGGTCCCTGACAGGTGGTTGTACTGACCCATGGGCACACAAGGCCAAGGCTTTAATCAAAGCCTGGAGTTGCAAACTCCCTCCTGGCCTACCCAAGGACACCAGAGGCAAAGAGACAGGATGCTCTGGACTGTTTTAGCATGACTTCCCTTTGACACAGGGATGCGTGGGACAGAGGAGGATGTTCTTCAGAAAGCAGAAGACCAGCCTTCCCTGGAAGAAGGACTGGGAGAAACAGTCCACCCACAGATGTGTGCACACATTGTACCCTCACTCCCAGTACACTGCTTGTGGGGAAGAAGAGGAGGAGGGGGGCTGGCAAGATGTGAGGAGGAAGGACTCTTCTCCCATGCATTGTATAGCCGCTCCAGCCACCCCATCTGCTGCAACCATAGCCTGCTCTGAAGAGTGAACTGGTGCACTGCAGACTCTGTATGTGTGTTACTGCTGCTCCACATTCCCAGCAAGCCAGGACTAGACTCTGCCTTGCTGGATCCAAACCTCTCCCCAACCTCCCTCTCAGGGGAATGTCTCCCTTTACCATACTGGACTCCGCAATCATACTTGAAATTGGACTTGAGTCAGAGCGGTACATTTAAAGATCTATATTTTACTTGCATCAAATAATGGTGAAACATTGCACAAAACAAATGGGATCTATATATGTGTGTGTGTGCGCGCGCGTGTGTGTGTGAGAGTGAGCAAGAGAGTGAGAGATTGTTTTTAAGGGGATAGACTAGAGATAAAATGAGTGGGAGGGAGGCAGGGGACAATGCAGGGGTTGGGGGGGTGGAAATCCTCCTTTCCCTGCACCTTCCCTGTGACGCCCTCCTGCCCTGACCAATTTTTCTTTGTTGCTAATAATATTTTCTATATCTTGTGTTGTGGGGCTGATGATGACCTTGCCCATCCTTTCCTTTTTGTTTTCATTTATAAAGGCAGAAAGTCTGGCTCCATCTCAACCCTAGACAAGGGACTGCTATGTTTAGAAACCCACCCAGGAAAGGAGAAGACGGGAAAGGGGAGAAAAGAGAGTTGCTGAGAAACACGAAGGCTGGCTGCTATGGGGAGTCCCACTGGAAAGCAAATACTGTGCTTGGCAGGACAAGGACCTGTCCTCTTCCATGCAGAGCAGATTAACAGGGTTCACTGGGAAGTGCCCTCTTTATACCACTGCTTGCAAAGAGGGTCTTACTCTGTTCCCTAGCACACCTGGAAAACAGGCTGTCCTAGTGCGACTGAGCTGCGGCACTGTCCACAGGCACTCTTAGGGAACGTCGTACCCCGCGTGGCCAGAAATGAAGCTGTCCTGTGGGATGCTCGACACAGCACGAGACTCCTTGTGCAACCAGGCAATGGGTTCCTCTGGTGTGTGGGGACAGGGGCTCCCGTTCTCCCTGCCGGCATGGCGAGGCATGGCTGGAATCCCCCTGAACGCAGCCTTTGGGGCAGGCAGGTGTACCAATGCCACACGCAGGTGCCTGCCCTCAGGAAATGGTCTTCTGGGGCAGGCAGGCCCAACACGTGCCAGGGCGATGCTGGGGCTGTCAGGGCCACCAGAAACACCCCTTCTGTTCCTCCCGCTCCCCTTCCCCACACACCCACCTGTGGTACAGGCAGGCACATTTCTTGCAGGGAACAGATGGCACTTGTAATTTCTTTCTCTTTTTGTTACTGTTCGAGGGAGAGCAACAAGGTTTTCTAAAATGATTGAATGGAGGTTTCTTTGGCATGAGACAGAACATTTTTAAAGGTATATTATATTTCTGGCTTGTTGTTACAGAAGAATAATAAAGAATGTATTTTCCTATGCTCCTTCTTGTTTAAATGAGATCTCTGATAGTAACCTTCCCTCTCTCCTCTACCCCCTGCAAAAGCACACACTTGCAGGGATACCGCCAGCCAAACGAAAAAGCCCCTGAATTCCCTCATATGTGTATGCTTGTCTGTATATACTGTTTGAACTTGGAATGAACATGCACATATATACATGTACATACACTGTATCAGTGTGAGTCCTAGGCAAGCACATACCTGTAGCTGGGGTGAGGCTGTAGGACTAAATACGCAGTCAGTCAAGGTGAGACCCTAGATCTAGAAACACACACACACACAGTGCTCCAGGGACACAGCCAGACCAAGGGCGCTTGTGTAACAAGGATAAGATACTGTGGCAATCAGCTCATTACATAAAAGTAGAAAGGGCCAAATTAATCCCTAGTGTAAGAACGCAGAAGCCAATGGAGTTATATTCAGGTCAAATTTGATTCCAAAAGCTTTTTTTTTTTTTTTTTAATTAGAGCATAATGTTCACTACAACTTACAGTAACAAATAGTGAGCTATGGGTTCCTACATCTCCAGATTCCTGACCCTCCTGAGCAACGTTATTTTGAAATGAATGGAAATTACTGTCTAAACCCCTAAGTACATCAGCTGTCACCCCTAGAGCTAAAACGGGGTGTCCCTCCACCAGCTGTTCACTGGCTAGCTCAATCACACACAGCTAATAAGTTTAAATTTCCCCCTTGTCAACTTTCGGTGCTACGAATACACAAGTCACCACGTTTTCTTCCTGTGAGAAAAAGCTCATCTTGAGGCGCGTGGAACCACAAAAGATGATAAACCCCGCCACAAGCAAACCCTTGTGCCATCTTGCTCACATTGTTATACTCGGCCACCCTGTTATGCTCCGTCTGATCTTCAGAGAGAAACTGGGAGAAGAGCCTAGATAATCCAATAAGAGCTGAGGCTGTTGTTCTGCTGAAAAGCTATGTGCCATGACAGAATCACCATTATTGTTTACCAGTATGGTGTTTATGGCACATAGTTTAATCTAATTTTGCCATGTAGGTAGAGGAGTGCACACAGATACTACTAAGCAGTTCATATAATACCAGAAATGTAGAGCAGAAAATAACCAAAGTCAACACACTCATCCGATGACTCTAGGTTTTTTCAGTTCATGAATTATCTGGGAGCAGGCTATGATTTTCTGCAATTTGATCATCTTTCATTTGGCAAATGTATTTGTCCTGTATACATATCTACTCACACACACATATCACTCCATACATATAAATGCATAATTATGTAATACATGTAAAATATATAAAATAGAATTCCTCCTCACTATCTTGTTCATTGGCAGCTTGCTGTGCTGGCTTGAAC